ACCCCCCCAATCCCCCACACCTTTTTAACCCCCCCCCCCCCCCCCACCCCTTATTAGAAGCCCCCTTTTGAGAGGTCTCTCCAGCAGAATTTTCTGTTTTCCCCAGCGGAACACGACCAAAGTTCTGAAGACCAAATACAAGCCCCCGGGGGCTTCTATTATGGCGGAGGGGGGAGTTACAGAATTCATTAGTATAAAAAGTTAGAGTTCATTTTTAAAAGGGATTCAGCTTCAGACGCTCGTAGCCTGTTAATAAAAATGAAATACAAAAATAAACAATTTTTGATTCATCTATGATACATTTCTTTATTTAATTTGTTTACACATATTTTCTGCGATTAGCGCTCCTTAGATACACAAGTCGAAATACAATATATGGTCCTGAAAAATTGAGATTGACAATAAATTTTCGAAAATGCATTCAGTTTCTCTCGCTTCGACTAATATTATTCAATGAAATAAATATTCTGTGTTTTCATAGTTCCATGCTACTACTTGTTTTATATTCAGGTATCCTATGAAGCTGAATTTAGACAAACATTCCCAGGCGATAGAGCATCAAAAAAAGCAATTACAAAATGGCGATTTCGACGTACGAAACCAATTGTGACTGCTCTAGATTATTTTGGTAAACAACAGGTATGATTTATACTGTAAATACATTTTGTCATCTAAACAGTAGCATATTTATAGAATTTATCAAACAGTAAATTAAAACAATCTCAACTAGGTGCGAGTGAAGAAATTCAAGATGATCTTTCAGATGATATTCAAAGCATGGATCAACCATTATCTGCAAGAAAAAGATTTGTACATGATCAATTCCAAAATGCATTATGGTAGTTATCAATGAATATTTTTTTCTGTTGTTCTGCACGAATATGATGCACAAAAGACGAAAAAACCTTTGTTTAAATAAAATTGCGTGTACAAATCAAGATATCGCGTCTATTTTTGTTGGATAATCTTCTTTGACTTCTAATAAGCAAAATGAAACACCACCGGTCTTGTTCCTTATCCGTCGTTATTTTATTTTCTTACTCATTGTAAGCATATTGTCAAAGTAACTTTGTTTTTCATTACACCTACATTCAAAGAAAGATGACCGAATAAAAATGTTTAACAATTATTTGACTTTGGAGAGAGAAATAAAAATGAAAAGAAATGTCATTAAAATTTTACAATCGCCAACTGAGCAAAAGTACATGTAAAACAGCACTAGAAGACAAAAAAATCGCATGTGTATGTGAGACAAAATTATTCGTGTGACAAAATAGAAATTCATACACCTATCATTTATTTATTTCTTGTATTTGCTTCTCTTTAAACGTTTTTTAATGTCAAATCCCTTGAATGTATTATCGAAACATAAGCGAACACCGTTGTTTTCAAACACTTGTCATCAAGCTCAAAAATTGTATAAACGTAGATTGGCATCACCATCAACTGTCATCGTACAACATGGTATGTATATGATTCTATTGCCATAAAATTCGCTTGTTGAAAGAAGACTTTTAAATGTTTTCGAATTAACATTTCTTCTAAACATGTGCGTTAAAAAGAATATAAAATTGTGCTTTGTATTTATGCAGGAGTATGATGTTGTAAATAATAGAAAGTTAATACTACCATGGAATTTTATGGCTATTCTATGAAATAAACGTTAAGATACTTTATTCCGTATCTTCAAGTCCGTAAAAATCCTTGCATACCCGACTAAAACTCCATATGATAAATGGATTCATACAGGATTCTTTAATGAACTATCTTGCTACAATCTCGGAGAATATACGCTCTTCTGAGAGAACACTTGCGAGCGGTAATTGTTTTAAAAAGCAGCAAGGACAAAAATACTGGATACTGATAAAATAAAACTCCTGATTTTCGGTTGCAAATCCAAAAATTTTTCCGAGGATAGGTAGGAATTTTGTACAGGATTTGTTCAGGATAAAAGGCATCAGAATATTTGCGATTTGTGTTGTGTAACTGTTCTTTGATTATAGTGTAAATAAAGTAAAAGGTCTAAAGAAAAAGTTTTTAGTTTGGAATTAGGAGAATTAGAAACATTAGCCGATGATTTTGTCGGCGACGGCGTAAACTTTCAGAAGAAATTTTCACCATGAAATGGCAGCGAATGTTGTTCAAGAAATCAGAAACTCTGCCGACAGGAGAATCAAGTTGTTATAGTATCACCACTGAATTCTGTATCAAAAATTATCTATATGATTTAATTTTGATGATCTTTTAATGTCTCGTACTAGTGGGAAATGCTGGTCTAACCGTGACTTCGAAACATGGTCTATCTAACTAAGTCTCCTAAGCCGTTTTAGAAGATCCCAAAATCTGATCATGGTCGATGATAGCACACATGATCTACCCCAAGAATATCTAAGGGACAAGAATTTTGCCCGATTTTCAAAAGAAATCGTTGTTCAGAATAACGCATTTCGCTCAAAATTGGAACTTTGGAGCAACCAATACCGAAAAAACTTGAGAGTAAAAACTACGCCCGGATATCACGATTGTGTGAACTTGTAGTAGACACTATCTAGTGTGTATGATAAATTTTTTTAGTCTACTACTACTAGTACTAGGGTAATAGTAAAACATGAAGACACCCACAGACACCCGCAGACACCCGCAGACACCCGCAGACAGCACACAGACACCCACAGACAGCCACAAACAGCCACAGACAGCTGCACAGACAGCACACATACAACCACAGACAGCTACACAGACATCCAAACACAGACATCCATACACAGACATCCATGGATGTCTGTGTAGCTGTCTGTGGCTGTCTGTAGTTGTATGTGTGCTGTCTGTGCAGCTGTCTGTGGCTGTTTGTGGCTGTCTGTGAATATGTATGAACATCACAAGTGTACCCTAAAAGGATACAACAATCTTTTGTGGTATAGGAAGAGAGTAATCCTTCCCAAGTGGTGAATACACCTTACCACAACATTCTTTAATTATAATAAACAAAAT